GTGTGTGTGTGTGTGTGTGTGTGTGTGTGTGTGCACTTGTTTTCCTATCAATTGGAGGACCTTCTCGTTGTTACATATTCACCAACCGAGGACTCATTTTAATTGGCTACAAAAAACAAATGTAATATTGGACTTTGTCAAGCCCTTAAAGTTGTTCAGTCCCAAAATATTAATCTCTGCTTTTTTACACATGGACATGGATCTTAATCAGCCACTTTGTATACTTGTATGCTTAATCTACTGATTGAACACATTACAGAAAAGATCCACTCTCGGATTGTATGGAATGACTTGGGTCCACTGTTTACTGGAATTTAGTGACACAAGTGCCCTCCTTGACAGCATAGAAGGGACACTTTCACTCCAGCATGGATGAAAAAAAAAGAAGCAAAACAGAAAATTCTGGTATAAGAGAGTTAAATACTACCAGCAGTTACGTCATTGTCATTTAAGTTGTATTTAAACTGACACTTTCTATTTAGATTAAAATGTTTTGTTTACTTGCACTGTTGTTAATTTACTGCTCTGTGTGCCTTTGAATTGCCCCCCGGGGACAAATAAAGTTTTTTGAATTGAATTGAATTGTAACGATTCAGAATCAAGTTTTGAACTTTAACAAAACATCCATCTGTATATTGCTAGTCAATGAAACAAAAATACTTGTTGACATATTTCAGACACTGACATTATCATTGCCAGAGCTCATGATTTAGCATGGTTATAAAAAATACAGGATGGCAGTGGGAATACATTTTCTTGATATAATTACGAGTCAGCCAGAGGAATGAAAAACCTCACAAACCCAATGTAAAACAAAAACAAACATCTCTGTAGCCCATGGGATACTGGCTGTACTGAACAACTTCCCTGCATAGTTGTAATGGGAAAAAAACCCACATCTTTTTCTGAAGATTTCAATCTGTGTAAATAACGTAATAAATTAAGACACTGCAGGTGGAAAACTTCAGAGCTTTAATATGGTGTAGAATTAAACAATGGAAGAACTGAGTTTATATGATGGCATAACATACGGACTTAATCAAATCTAAATGAAGTTTATTGCCAAACATAGTGTGAACAGGGTACTTTTTCTTGGTATTTTGGTCAATTACAATAAAAACAGTAGGAGAATAAAACAAAAGTTATTTTTATGTTTTGAATCCCAATCTTTATTTTACATGAAAGACAGCCGCAAATAAACAGTAAAAAAAAATGGCGCTCTTTAATAAGCCAAAAGTGTTATTTACAATGCTTACAAAGTCACACACTCCTTAACCGAGGGCTTGCTTTACTGAACTCCTGAAAATGGAAAGAGAAACCCAAAGAAAAAGCTCATCAAATGAAAATTTTGTAAGCTCAGAACAAAGCCACTGATACCTTGTAATGTTAAATATGAAATCTACCAACTCTATAAACTCTGTTGTGTTTAACACAATGATGCTCCATTGAGCAACAAGGTTTTGTTGTTTCATGTGTACAATAAAACAGAACACAATGAAATAAAGAATGGTGCTCGACTAGCATGTACCAATGTTGTGACTGATACTCCATAATGCAAGCTCCAAGAAGGATTTAAAATGTCCACTCTGAAGATTCTTGGCCCCCAATGTTATTGGCTTGAATGCTGTTCGCTCCCTTTTCTCTTGAAAGATATTATTTTGTTGTGCACATAATATTTCACCGCTTTCCAGTCTCTTCGGTTATCTCTCAGAGTTTGGTTTTCATCGACGCATCTTTGGCAGTCCACTTTCCTTGGGATCGTCATTTCCTTCAGGAAGTGCTTAAAATGGTGTTCAACGATTTTTCTCTCCCTCAGTGACCAGGGCCTTCTCTTCACTGTAGGATAAACAAAAGTACACCAGTGAAATAATAGAAGAAGGAAATGGCAACCAACATTTCATGTCAAGACAATATTTTTGGAGGTATTGGAATATCGCACCCTTTTGATGTGATGGTTGTGATGATAATGTATCCTTATCCTCATGTTCAAATCCAGCCCCTGACTTTCCTAAAACCAGATACATGTTTTAATCAATAATTCAGATGGATAACTTCAATCACACTGCATTTCTCAACAACCATTATACTTCTTGCAGCAGAAACCTTACCTTGTTGACTTGTGGAAGCCGTCCGCTCAGATTGGACTTCATCCGCATCCGCATCTGAGTCTACAAATTCCTCAGCTGCAAGAAAATGTTTGAAATAAGTTGTGTGTATAAAGCAATTTGTCAAACACCTAAAGTATTGAGTGTTTTACTTACAGTTGAGGTTTGGTGTCAACTCTTCCAGGGTTTTTACTGTATTTTTGCCAATTCCACCTTGCAGTGCAACAATAAGCCTGCTTACTTTTGTCATGTGGAGAGATGCTTCAGGTAGTCTGTGGACTTCAATATCATGACCCCATGAAGGTTGCCAGCTGGTCTAGTTCATGATTTTGCAGGTTGAGGAGCTGTGAAACTGTGGCCACATGCTTCCTTAGCTTGGTGGATGTGATGTTTTCTGGATGTTTTGCTTCACAAGATTCTGCAAAATGTTTCAGGCTGTCACATCCCTGAATGTTCTCCTGTGACCCAAAACAAGGAACAGCAAAAATGTAGGGATTTGTTGCTGAAATTCCAACTTTGCCCCTCGTCTTAATCAAAAGCTCCACAGATTCCTGTACATTTCTTGTGAAGAGAAAGGGTACTTTGCGGCCCCTTTCCCCTCGGACCTCTACTCTGAGGAGATTCTCGCACAGTATTCTCTCAAAGGGGGTCAGGCACTCTGCAATTTCATCTTGCATTCTGCTTTTGTCCCTTTGGAGGTAGGTTTGGACTTCTATTCTAGAAACTTCTCCCTCACGATGTCGATTAAATAATATCAATTGTGTCAGTGTAACCTTGGAGAGCTCACTCCATGCCTCTTGGGATGGATGTTCAATGAGTGCCTGTTTGTGGACCTCTTCAAGGCTTTTCAAGTGGTCATTTAATGTCTTAATGTCCTCTGATAGAGGCAAAATTTCTTGGGTGTTCCATTTCTTTTTGTATAATTCTTCTTGAGCATTAACCTCAATTAACCTTGAAAATTGCTCAGCTTTAGCCTGTAAGTCTCCATCTTGTTGACGCAGTGCCTCACCTTGCAGCATAAGTGACACCTTTAAAAGGGCTTGGCGCAGATTGCTTGCTGTTGAAGGAACCATAAAACTTTGTGCTGACTCAAACCGAGCCATTGTTTTAACAGCCTCAAGAACCGCGCCGAACTTTCCAGGGTTTATCAAGTCCTTCAAAGAGATCATTTCCGGGTCGATCTCTCTTGCTGCTAGAACAAGTCTGGCAAGTTGCCTCATTTTATTTCTAATATCTGCCCTGTGTTGTCCCTCTTCACTGTCTTTGGGAAGCAACCTCTCTCCAAAGGCAATTATAAGGACATCTGATTTCACAACTTTAGTAACAATATCACATGCCATGTCCTCCAGAATTTCTTTCAGTCCACTGGAATTTGAATTGTACAGAGGCAACAATAGGGAACTACTTGCTTGAGCTTTCCTTTTAACAGGGGCCATCCTCTTTCACTTGGAGCTTACAATGCTTGTGATGTTTCCAGATGTCTTTTTTTATATACATGGCGTAACAGAACTTGCAAGGCAGATAGTCCATGTGGGAGGATGGGTGGCTTGCTTGCTTTTTCGTTACGATTTGTCCTTTTCCAGAGGAAAGCACTGAACAATTGTGTTTATAGTTCCCCATGTTTCTGACTTTGCTCAGCAGAAGACCCCGCATGGCCGACCCTTTGTTGTGTGTGAGGACCTTAGCCACTTCAGCTCTGTCAGAATGCTTTTGCAGTAAATGTCTTGCAATTTTTCCATACGGCTTCTCACAATAGAGGCAGTAGCTCTTTTTATCGTAGATCCTCTTATTTGTTTTGTTTGAGCAAGTTTTCACCTCAATACAAGGCTCAGGGTTGCTTGGAACTGTCACTTGTTGGGTCTCCACTGATGGTTCCCTTAAGGTTACTTTTTCTTCTTCCTGCTGGTTTTTTTCCACTTCCTCCTCAGACATTTCCGGGCAAGGGGAAACCTGTTTTTCAGTAAGAAATGGGATCCAGCTATTAATTTGCAAGTAATTATATAAAGAAATCATACCCTCACTACTTTTACGTCAAGAAATGTCTTGGACTTTTCTTCCTATGGTTAGGTCATAAAATCTAATTACCATATCGCACAATCCTTCTTCAGTGGGAGAACATGAATCAACCAAGCCATCACTCCTTTCTTGTTGATCATCGTCGTAACTTTCTGAGATGTCCTTCTCCTGTGGGGTTTGGGGACAACTATCTGCTGCATGGCTTTGGTCCTGTAACCATGACAAAAAAGGTCTCAAGGATTAACAAATTTTCTTTGAAAGTTATCATGCATTTTTACACAATTCAGGCAATGTAGTCGGACTCTGGTTAGGTAATTAAAGCGCTATTTACCATATCCGAGAATCTTTTTTCAGTGGTAGAACATGAATCCACCAGGATATCACTGCTTTCTTGTTGATCATCATCATCACTGCTTTCTTGCTGATCATCTTCATCACTTTCTGAGATGTCTATCTCCTGTAGTGTTTGGGGACAACTATTTGCTGCTGGATCTTTGGAGTGCGGTCTCATTGTTTGATCGGGATGTTGATCAGTTAAGTTGTAATGCACCTGGTGTCCTGCTTCCTAAAATGGACAGGAATAACTCAGTACAGTTTCCACTTACAGTAACAACAAATCAATTTGCCGAAAACTACAGGTAATTAACCACCTGATCTGTACAGAAACGATAGTCAAAATTAAGATATGAGGTACAATAAATCTCAACAGTACAAAACTTTGACATGGCATAATTGACATTTGAATACAGAATTCAAGTAAATCACACGGTGCGCGGTGCTTCATCCTGGAAGTCCAAAATTTCGGATACGTCATCAGGAACGCACCCTGACATAGGAACTCAGAAACTCGGAAGAACGTCGGTAGCCTGAGCTAAAATCAAATACGGCTGCTACATGCATCAACGGTAAAGTGTAAGCTGTACATTATTGTTTATTAGTAACGTAGTATTGTTATTGTGTAATTACAACAATTTTAACCGATACCCGTGTCGTGCAAGTTCTATCTGTGGACATGTCAGTGTGGTGTTATTACCTGGTATAAGCTAACAAAACGATGGTACTCCTGGAGTCGTTATTAACTCGTTACTGAAAAGCGGTAATTCGGGTGTGATGTCATTTTCTGCTCCGACTTCCGAGGTAAATGGAACGCACCATAACACTTGCAAGATCAACCTACTTGGATCTCCGATTCCGTTTTAAACTTGTACTTCGGGCTTCCATTATCATCATAACTGGACCCAGAAAACTATTCCAGCCATTTGTGAAAACAATGTGGTTTTTGCATGATGTGTGATGAGGTGGTGTGTGTGTGTGTATGATGTGTGGGTTCATCAGCAGCAGCCGCCATGTTGGAAATTCTGTCTCAGCCTAACTTTCAGTCAACCTAACGACAGGCTGAGAGCTGTCAATCAGGTCAGCTGAACACCCAGCTATGTATAACTTGTATTGTTCATGAAATAAAAACGTACCAGGCTGTAAACTTGTTCATTTCTGCTGTAAAAGCATTTTTGAATGGGGTGTGTATGTGATTTCCAGCTCTTGGAGGACCCTTGATGAGCTGGATGATTTTCAAATTGGCTTAATCTTTCAACACTGGATGTTGCCACTTGTAAGTGAGCATGTGTTTCTCGATAGAGGCATATGTACAGGAGGAGATCGAGGACTGACTGTATCATTAATCAATCCCTGATGGTGGTCAGATGTATAAAACAGTCAAATCAACAGCATGTGTTTCATCGAGTTCACAACGCTGCTGTGGACAGTTGTATGATGATCAGTGATGTATGACTTCAGAGTGCAATTAAATACCCTTAAAGGTCCCATATTATGCTTTTTCTGGTTTATATGCTCTTTAGTGTGTTTTCCAAGTGTCCTGTGCATGTTTAGGCACATCTTTGTGCAAAAATTCAAAGTCCGGAGAAACGCGGCTTCTCCTACGTCCTCCTGTTAGCTGTAGCATTAGCCGCATGTAACGCTCGGTTCTAGCCCCCCTCGAAAAAAATGTGTCAGTGTGACGTCTTGTCAGTGTGAGATCACTGATCTAAGCCCATTGGCTCGTTGTGGCAAGCCCAGCAGCTCATGTTGCACGCCCGTTAACTTCTGTAGCACGCCCACGATATGCCGTAGCCTGCGGTAGCACAGTAGTGCTAAGGTGCTAATGTTTTTGCTCCCCGGCCCTCAGAGCCAGAGTGGCTGAGCAACTGACTAATTACGGCAGAGCAGACAGGCCGACCAATCAGATCAGATTTGGCACACGTGGGGACTCTGAACGTGGGCACTTCAGAGCCTTAGAGAGAGAGTCAGAAGCGAGCCGGTGCACGGAGCTGCAGTACATTTAGCTATTGTGAACATACTTTAGTAGGTACATAGATTAAATATATGAACCCCAAAAAGGGCATAATATGGGCTCTTAAATTATTCTGATGCGTTACTTTTTCTGTTACTAATTAATCAAAATGAATGCATTATTTTGACAGCCCTCATAAAAACACAACAACATCACTTGTAGACAGGAGACAAAAGTAAAATGAGGAGTGCAAAGGTTCTGAAACAAACATGATTTTTGATCAGGTTGCTATATACTGTATATATACATTATAAACAAAATAATTTAGAGTATTGACAGAGGACGTAGATTGAACTTTGATACTAATAATTTAAGAGACTGACAGTTTGGGCAGTTTGCCGTCGTAACATCAAAGGGAGAAAAAGTTTAGTTCTAATTTTTGTTGTTGCAAAATAAAGTTTGAAAATGAGCAGATATGGAGCAACCAAGCGCCCGAAGAGGGAATAAAAAGCACTCAAACCGACACAACTACTGCAGAAATCTGATATTATAGAAGACACTGTTATGAAGTAAAAATGAAAAGATGAGTCAGTCAACAAAGAAGATCAAATAGAGATTATTTTTGTAAAATAGAAGTTACAGGGAAAGAAGAACTGGGTCTGAATTTTTCAAGTACCAGAATTTGCAGCTTTAGCTTCAAGTCATTTTAATGACAGGTAGTGATTTTTCTGGTTGCATAAACGAGGCCCCAAGAACACACCACGTATTAAAACGATACCTTTATAGAACTAGACCAATTTCCTTGCTGTAATGTTTAATATTGTGTTTAAAAAAAGTAAAGTCTTATTGGTTTGAGGTGTTGTACCTACCGGTACGGGCAGGCCTAGAGGTTTCGATGTGTTCTGGCTGTACATGTTCAGCGACAAAGGAACATAAGAGGAGGGCAAGACGGCGGCTTTGGGGTCAGAGTTTTCTTCACACAACAGAGAAGACAAAAATATAAACATCAGTTATTGGCTTACATTAAGCGAAAAGTATAACCATAACACATCATGAAGGTGCTGAGAAGTAAAAACATCCTTAGAGCCGATGATACCTGTTTGTGTTTCTGCGTCGACGGTCTGTGTTGAGCAGGAGACTCCTTTGTTATGGACCAACGGGGTGCAGAGCATGGACTTGTTCTTCAGCTCCTTAGGAACTGTTTGAACACTGGCCTGAAGGAGGACATCGAAAAATACAAATAAAGTATGTACTCTCTGCATACTGTTTTTTACATTAACATGCAGTTATTAAGTGTGTTGTATATTGGATAATACACTAAATAGAGTACAGAAGACCTCAAAGAAAACTACAACATATGGATGACTTTGTCTCTGAGTAAAACTTACATGTCCAACGACCTTTGTGTGAATGTCGGGGGCAGGCGCTGTCAGGAAACATCAGAGTTGGACTCATTAAAAAGAGCAGCGGACACAAAGAATATGACGTTTACTAAGAAGTTAAAAGTAGTTAAAAGCTGTCCAGCAGTTTGAACGTACACAACGTCTGTGTGTGTGAGCCACGCTGTGCAGAGCGGGCAGAGGAACTCGTCTGTTTAGCCAAAGCACCAGCGAGTGAGATAACGTTAGTGATGACCGGGGAGGACTCCTCTGTGCTGACGGCTCGAGGAGGTGGAGAGACTGCAGGCAGGAAACAAAACATGATTTTTTTAGTGATTCAACCTTTTACACAATAAGTATGCTTTTGTTGCCGTGCAGAATACACTGAATGAGCTGAAACTTGTTCTCAATGCCGAGAAGAACAATCTAATGTTGTTTACCAACTCCAAGAGCAGGTCACAAAATGTACCTGCGGTGGTCACTGTTGATGGAAAGGAAATTGAGGTTGTAAACTCGTACAAATACCTGAGTATTTTGAATGATGACTCCCTTAGTTTTAAACCTTAATTTGTGCCTTGTGTCAAGCTGAGGCTAAAACTGGGTTTTTATTTCAGAAAAGAGTTGTTTTTCTTTTAAAGGAAGAATGATCGACTTTTTGATCCAGTAGATGTCGCCCATGAGCACCAGCATGAAACCAAAACAAACTGCTGTTTAGCGACACCTCCGTTATTCTGAAGTCTCCGCTCTCCTTCAGCGACACACCTCTACCACCCTCTACTTTGCCATGTGACTTTTTGAGTCTTTCTTTTTTTTTTTGAGCATTATGAGTTAAAGACGAGGCTGACATTCAGTAACAAAGAGTTAGAAGAAGAAGAAAACAAACATCAAACAGCAGCTGCAGTTCATACCTCTGTTTGCCATTTGGGCGTGTTGGCTGCAGAAATGTAGGAGACACTTCATGTCACAGAAGTGTTTGACCACTCCGATCAGGGCGATACTCTGCGTCAGTTTTTCTTTACGGCCGCAGGTGTCGCACTTTGCAAACTGTTTGATAGCAGAGACAAAAAAAAAGAGTTGTTAGCATTTTAAACGTCTTATTGATTCAAAAAAATGAAGAGGACAAAAATGAACACTTTCTTTTTCCACCTCTACCCACATGGTTAAAGAGCAGGTTGTACTTCAAGTTGCAGTCATAAGAACACAACGCCTGGTCAGAGTCTCCGTAGCGCTCCACTATGACCGTCTTAGAGATGGAGAGACAGTAAGCACACGACTGGCAGTATTCCCCCCACTGTTTCTTCAAGTCCTGCTGAAAGAGCATCTTGCATCCTGGGAGAAAGAGAGAGAGAGAGAGAGACTGAGTTTCACACGGTTTCCTTCTCTTTGCTGTCGTGCAGCAGAAGCCCGAGCCCCATGATCCAGCATCAGTCGTACCAGCACTGCAGAAGTAGCAGTCCTTGTCGTTGACTCTGATGACGACTTTGACGATCCTTTCATTCCTACAGTAGTCACACTTTCCCACGATGTTGTTGTCCCTCCTGAACGCTTGAGAACAGGACGCGCTGCACACGAAATGCATTCTGCCCTGTGCACAAAACACAAATTTTCACAGACATGTCGTCGTTTAGTTTATCAGTTATGAGGAAGGGGAAACCGATCAATATAAAACTGGGCGAATCAATAAACACAAGATGAGATTCAGTAAGATAACAAGCTCAACTTTTCACCTGCTCTTTGAATGTTCAACTAACTCAGGCTGATTAAAAAATATATATCTGGAGGAAAGAACAAAAACAAACTTTATTCTGGATGACTTTGGGTGTGGTTTTCATCTCGCGTCGACACTTTGCACATTTCAGCTTCTCTGGTGGTTTGAGGAAATCACACTGGGTTTGTTGGGAGGCTCCAGCAGGGCGAGTGGGAACATGTTTGTCTCTCTGGGATTCCTGTGTCAAAAAAAAACAAAAAGACAGCAAAAAGCATGCAAAAGATTTTAATTGCACATTTAATACATGATGGTCACAGAGCAAACTGAGCACCGACACTCAGCGTGTTAATGTCAACAAACGTCGGTGTGGCTGATTTCAAAACCGCCCATTAAACTAGTAGTACGCACTGATTCGGCCAAAATGCAGTATGCTAACAATTGAGAGATCTGCAGTTTGAAAAAAAGTTGTGTACTGATTCAGGAAAAATCAGCAGTAAGTAGGCATCAGACTAGTCTTCTCGCTGAATGTTTCCCACAATGCAAAGCAGTCTGGTCAGAGCATTTATATAGGTCCATTAGCAACAAATAAAAAGAGGGGTCACAGAGGCAAGACAGCAGGGGAAATGCAGTGTTGTGTGTGTGTGTGTGCCGGTCTGACTGTATAGCCATTTTCACATATGCACTCCGGATAATATCTAGATATTTACAGGAGGACTTCTCCGGCGATTCTCCCGAAGTAGCCGTTCACATATGCTCCTCACAGCGGGGGACTTTCCCTGTCAGAGGGGAGGGGGGGGGCGGGTGATTTCCCGACGTAAATAAACAACGCAGAAGTAGCGGCCGAAGCAACAGAGTCCGCTACACGACGTTATAATGAGAATATTTGCCTTTATATCAATGCTATGTGTAATCCAATGGAATGACAACATTCACAAAAGAGTGAAGAACAACATACTGACAAACAGAAAACATAATGCAGCCGTTTAATTACGTGCACGGAGATCGTAGTGGTCGCGGGCAGACACTTTAGCCGGTCACTATATAAACGCCATTCTCTTTCCATTGGCTGAAATTGAATTCTCCGGAGAATATCCTGCTGCATTCTCACATCAGCTCCTCCGGATTATCTGCAGAGAAAATACTAGGGGTCCGGCCGGATAAACTCCGGGTAATATCGGAGTAAAAAATTTGGCTGTTGCGTTCACACATACAGCTCCTCCTGGAAATCTCTGGAGTTTTTTAGGAGATTTCCGTATGTGTGAAAAGGGTTTGTGTGTATGTGGAGCTCCTGCTGTGTCAAATGGCAATGTGAAACAATGACAGAGAAAACACGCTCAACTCCTTTTCAACGTAAAACAATTGGGTGCTTAATCCCGAAAAATGTTCAAACCAGAAACACAATTAGGACAGCACTCCCTATGAACGTACAAAGACGTGATGAGCTTAATGCGATACTGTTGAGAAAACAAGCAGTCTGAAAAGGACTTCAGATAAAATCATTTTTGAGATACTGTGTGTCTCGTTGGATTCTGTCACAGGCTTTGGCACAAAAACATCAAATGTCTGCAACACACTATCAGCGATCAGCTTTAATATAGCTGCATGTACTGGTTCAAGAATCCTTAGACTACTTGTATACGCCGCAGGTTGTTTCACCTTAAAGGTCATGGCGCAGCTCAAGGAGCAAAAGTTTCTGATGGAGGCGTCCGACATGGCGAGGTGACAGGCGGGTACTGAAGACTTTCCACAGCTGTCACAATCAACAGGATCACCTAAGGAGAAGACAGAACAAACTCAGCCAACTGGTAACTTTTATTTTTGATCTCAATAGGAGAGAGAGTCCATGAAGACAATGAAAAATTTCACAATAAAAGCATGTTTCTAGGATTTTATGGAGATTAGGCTTTCTCTGTTTGGACAACTGCAAGATTCAAACTTTTTTTTAAGATCTAATGACTCATGTCAAGTTGTTCAAGTTGATTTAATAACTGATATTTTCTTTATAAATTATCTATTTGGACTGCGGTTTATATAACAGAGCACTGAGACAATAATAAAACTCTTTCCTTTGCAGTCTTTTAGGTTTCATCAGATTTATTTTGGGACTTTTTTTGCCTTAATTGTTGAGACAGACTTGTGGGAAAGGAGCCACATGTCGGCTGTTACTCCTCCTTTACCTAAAGAGCTGGGTCATAACAGAGAGGAAGAGAGAGAGAACAGGCTGCCATCTTGTCACAATCACTGTCCCGTACCTGATGAACTGACCGCCAGGATCTTCGCCGCCGCCACACAGCTGTTGTTACAGAAGAGCTCCACCTCGCCGTCACTGTTTTTACAGTCAACCATGTCCGACATTAAAAGTTTGGTGCTGCACGTGGAGCAGGACTGCGGCGTTTGTATTTTCTGGAAAGGAATCAAAACAGCAGAATGAAAAAGAGAGAAAAAAATCTAAGACCAGCTCACGACAATGAGAGATTAAGGTTCGATTTTTAAGAAATGGCGTCTATTTTTTTTTACATTTTGACCAGCAAAGGCCTCATTAAGCATTATTTTTATTGAATCTTCTAGGTGGGAGCGTCCTGCAAAGAGCTGCGTGGTCGGGCGTGTCCTACAACTTAGCTCCATGCTTTGCCTCGTTCTTATGATAACAAACATCACAACATTTTAAGTCTGTATTTAAATACAAATCAGAAGAATAGATCTCCTTTAACAAAAGTAAATTGAATAATGACAGTTTTTCTTTTTTTAAGATTTGTCTTACCTGTTTGTACTGGGCGAGACAATCAGCACTGCAGAGTCTTTTGCTGCCATCTTCTGTTATGATTGTTAGCGGTGCGTTGCAGTTCGAGTGACAGTTCAGACAGATCGACAGGTTGTTTGAATTACAGAAACGCAGAAAACAGGGATCGCTGCAGATCTTCTTGACAGCTTCCTTATGTATGATCTCGTGTTTACTCTGCAGGAGGAGAAACAAAAGGAGACTCTGTCAACCCTGATTCTTAGTCATTACTGATGTAAACCAAAATAACAAGAAGGAAGTGTGTCAAAAATAGATTTTTAGATAAAGATTTGAATTAAAGTTTAAAGGTCACATATAATTTAAAATACACTTCATAATGTTTTCTAAAACTAATGTATCCCTAGTCTGTCTAAAAAAGTCCATCCTCTCTGTCTTTTGCCTGCTCCACTTTTCAGAAAATGTGTGCTCAAACAGGCCGTTTGGAGATTTTCCCTTCATGACATCACAAAGGGCAGTAACTCCTCCCCCAGGTGGGTGACACTCCCACAGCTAGGTGTTTGTTCTGCCCTCTGAGTCTGCCTTCTCACCCTAAACAATAAGGCATGAAGCAAGAAAGCCAAAGTCACCCAAGCCCTTCTAGAGAGGGGGCGTGGTCAGACACAGCTCATTTACATTTAAAGGTACAGACACAGAAACAGCCAGAGCAGGGCTGAAATAGAGGGGTTCATAGGCGTGATCAAAAATAAATCTATCTTCTTGAATCCATTCCTGTGTCACTTACGATGCAATATCTGCCGCAAATGTTGCACTGTGAGTGTGAGGCGACGGGCACGATGGGTACTTTGCTTTGCATCATACTCTTGTAGTTGAAGGAGGACATGCAGGTCTGACAGCAGAAATCCTTTATCGTCCCTGCATCGTCCACCGGGGCCTGCAGGACTTTCTTAGCCTGCGATAACGCCCTGAGGAGACAAAGAAGGATGCAATCAGTTTAAAGAGGAGGTATTGAAATGTCCATATCTTCAGACAAACTTTTATCGTTGGCTACAATCTGTGTTAAAATGAATTTTTGGACTCACTGCAGACAGAAGGTGCAGCTCCTCTTAACTTGTTTCATTTTGTAAAACTTCAAAAGACAAGCAGAGGAGCAGAAGATGTCTGTGTGGTTCTTCCTCTGATAAACTGTCTCTCCGTCCATCAGGACTTTCCTGCAGCTGGAGCACGATTCCCACAGATCCGTGTTGGCAACAGTGGGAGCTGAATGTGAGGGGTCTCCTGATGAGGTTAGAACCGGACTTTCTTCAGTTTTCATCTCCTCCTGTCAAAAACACAGAAAACAGTGAAGCAAAAGAGGGTTTAGGACTTTTCTGGAAGAAAACAGAAAGACTGCTTACACGAGCCTGGATCAAAAATATGCCTTCAGAGAACGTCTAAAGAAAAAATACATATCTGAAAAAACAGACTCAGTGCGCACAGGCCTTTATATTGGACATAGAGCTCTAGTTATCAGAGACATTTAGGGGGTAAATTTAACCTTCAATCCGTCAGTTTTCTTTAATCAAAATACTTCACATAATAAAGTTCAGTTCCCTCAAAACTTTTGTAGACAAAAAACAGAACACACTGAGGTTGTGCACAATGACGACACACCTGATGGACATTTATAAAATCTGTTCTACTGCAGCTCATCTTGTAAATCTCCCTAATGGTGACGCATACATGAAATACAGGCTTTATTCTCTCTTGTAAAAAAGGTTTTTCACCCCCCTCTTTGTATGAACAGTATTATGCGTCCTACCTTAGCCATACTAGGCTCGTCCTTGATGCTTTCTGTGGATAAGGAGGACGAGACATTCGGGTTGCACTCCTCCTCGATGGGCTCTTGTTTAATCTTGAAGATGAGTGGAGGGCAGAGAGACAGATTAGCTGTGTGACATATTTAACAGAGAAGCCTAGAGTAATTGTGTAAATACTCTTTTCTAATGTTAATGCTGCACTGCACTTAGGGAAATACATGCAAATGAAAGTCCAACTATCTTTCCATGCTTAACTAAATCTGTCCTGTAGCAGACCGTACATCACATCCATCACTTCAAAAATTAAAGATAACTTTTTGTCGATGTAGCGTCTCAAACAAGAGGTGTGTTTAGAAGTCATTCAGGACATATTACAGTTATTACAGAACATATGTGATACTCACAAACTCCAAATTTTGCAGCGGTTTGACCTGTTTGTCTTCGTTATCACATACTGGGCTGTTCCTTCCTGTTGAAACATGGTTAAATGTACCGGTATTAAAGGTCACATATTGTGCAAAATCCACTTCACCATGTTTTTCTAAAACTAATATGTGTTCCTAGTCCGTCTAAAGACCCCCCTTTGATAAAAAGAGTCCATCCTCTCCGTCTTTTGCCTGCTCCACTTTTCAGAAAATGTGTGCTCAAACAAGCCGTTTGGAGATTTTCCCTTCATGACATCACAAAGGGCAGTAACTCCTCCCCCAGGTGGGTGACACTCCCACAGCTAGGTGTTTGTTCTGCCCTCTGAGTCTGCCTTCTCACCATAAACAATTGGACATGGAGCGAGAAAGCCCGAGTACACCCAAGCCCTTCCCAGACAGGGGGCGTGGTCAGACACAGCTCATTTACATATTTAAAGGTACAGACACAGAAACAGCCTGTTCTGAGCAGGGCTGAAATAGAGGGGTTTATAGGCACGATCAAATACAGGATCAGAGTGGATTTAGAACAAGAAACTTCACACACATGTTTTGGGGAGAGGAGGAGAATATGTGACCTTTAATGGAGAGAGATTTCTGGCAGATAGGACCAGAGCCAGAACAAATACAATCACTAGCATAGATGTGATGCCATGCTTTAATTCGGGAGTTTCTTACTTAACATCATAACTGAGTAAAGTCAGCAGTCAAAGGTTACCATAGCTTATACATTATTTTATAGTTCAATGAAAAGGTACTAGAGCAGTATAAAAAAAGAGCCAGTTGAAGCGGGACATAGTGAGAGAGATGCCGTTTAACTTCAAATAATGATTGTGAAGTACCTGACAAGGTGAGCGTCTGAGCCTTGTGCACCATCATACAGCGGTTGCTACAGAAGAAGTCCAACGTCCCCTCGTCGTTTTTATTTTCAACCATGTCTGACATCTGATGGGACGTCTGGCACATGGGGCAAAGCCGGGGCCTCTTAACACTCTGCAAAGTCACAGAAATATATATCAGAAGAGGAAGAGTGCAGAAGGATGTCAACATGTTTTCTGAATTTCTTCCTCCACCTTGAACTCTCGATGAAATTGAATAAGTAAAAATAACTTCTATTTCAGAGTTTAATCCAAGAGGTTAAAGTTTTTCAAGACGTTTTGCTGCTCATCTTCGGTTCTAAAGAAACTGAACTGATGAAGCCTTTTGAATCAGAGCTGAAAACTCTCAAGTTGTCTCTTTATCAAACTTTCTTGTCTTATCCTGACCTGGACCCCTGAGCACCGTCACAGACCTCTACGTCCTCTTTCAGTACCTCTTTGAACTTCACCAGACATTCATCAGTGCAGATGGATTTGCTGCCTTCCTCTGTCTTCACGGTGAAGTGTTTGTGGAGGGAGGCGGAGCTACAGATGTCGCAGGTAACCACGGTCAAGTTGTTGACTTGGTGGTAGTTGGTGAAGCAGGCGTCGCCGCAAACTGTGTGCTTGAAACCATCGAGGGTCAGCTTTGAGTTCTGAGGCTGAAAAGAGAGAGAGCATGTGTAATTTACTGCAGGTATTCATATTTGTCATATTAGTTATTTCATAAACGATAAGGCTTTTGGTTATATTTATCTCCCGTGTTTTAATCAGTTAGTTTTGTCCTTTTGAATGCAGGACAGCCTATAACATATTTATATATCTGCTCAATACCAGATTGAAATTCATTAAAATCGCTGGGTTATTGGACAACTACAGTTAAACCGTATGTTCCCTTACAATGCAGGCTTTGTTGCACATCTTGCACTGCGGCGGAGGCGGTTTTGGTGCAACTTTGGCCTTCTTGGAGTTGAAGGAGGCGAGGCATTTGGGGCTGCACAGTTCCTTCATAGTTCCTGAATCATCCACAGGAGCCAGGATCATGCTGCAAGGGAGCAATATCACCCTGAGAGAAGGAAAACATAATGAATTTAAACTGAGAAAAATGATATACAGATTAACACAAAGAGGGGTAATTCACTAAGAATGGATTGCACTCTTTTGTCCCCCTGGCCATACGTCTGTATAACACCTCACGGTTATGGCAGGGGGAAAGCACACAGTGACTCTTTTTTTTTTTTTTTTTTCCTAAAGATTTATTTTGGGTTTTAATTCAGAGGGAGGACAGTGGATAGAGTCGGAAACCAGGGAGAGAGAGCGGGGAATGACATGCGGAAAGGGGCCACGGGTGGAAACGAACCCGGGCCTACCGCTCGAGATGAGAGTCTCAACACATGGGACGTGCGCCCTGCCACTGCGCCACCAGCGCGCCCCGCACACAGTGACTCTTGGACTAAATATTCCTCTTTCCATTTCCCACTTTAATGCTAACCTCAATTATTTAATGTTTGCACTGACTCTTATTTAATGTCTGTTTTTTGATAATTTTCTTCTTTTTAAACATTGCTAAAAATTTTGATTCATCTAGGGGTATTCTTCAATATTTTTTTCGGGTTAATATATATGTACGGGAGGGGGGCGTCGGTTTTGTGGTTAATTTTTAACAAATGTCTCATGTCATGTACATCTTTGTAACCTGCTACTGGATGCTTTGAATTTCCCTCAGGGTCAATAAAGTATCTATCTATCTATCTATCTATCCATCTATCACTTTTAGCATCAAACATTGTGCAAAAGTTGTCCTGCTGCTCTCACATGGCAGAGCTTCAGTGTCCGCGTCATGGCAACCTGCATGAGCATCGACTCTAGGGAGGCGGGGCGTGGCGAGACAGCAGTACCTATCCTAAAAAAATATAAAAAGTAAATATCCTGAACTTACTCTGAGCAGTTGTAGCATTGTTTGTTGAGTAATTCGATGGCTGGATTCTTTTTGGATTTACAGTGGAGGCAAACTTTCCGACCTGCACGCAGTTTCCTTTCGCAGATGTCACAATGCGTCATCGAGTCCGAGTACACCGCTGTTGGTACGTTGACTGTTTCAGCAGCTGGAGATGCATAACTGTTGTTTACAGTCGAGTCTGAAAGCATCGTTTCATCCTCCTGTGGGGCGATGAACAGTTACTGAACAGTGTTTAAAAGGAAGTTCAAATTTAACCCTGCTGAACAAGGATACAATCAGACAAACTGTTGACTCTCTGATGTGCTAAATCAAATATAACTGTGTATGTAGCTACACTTAAAAGATCACATATTATTCAAAATCCACTTCACCATGTTTCTCTAACACTAATGTGTCTCTAGTCTGTCTACAAACCCCCCAATGATGAGAAAAGTCCATCCTCTCCGTCTTTTGCCTGCTCCACTTTTCAGAAAATGTGTGCTCAGACAGGCCGTTCGCAGATTTTCCCTTCATGACATCACAAAGGGCAGTAACTCCTCCCCCAGGTGGGTGACACTCCCACAGCGGTGTTTGTTCTGCCCTCTGAGTCTGCCTTCTCACCGTAAACAATAAGACATGGAGCGGAAAGCCCGAGCCCTTCCAGAGAGGGGGCGTGGTCAGACACAGCTCATTTACATATTTAAAGGTACAGACACAGAAACAGCCTGTTCTGAGCAGGGCTGAAATAGAGGGGTTTATAGACATGATCAAATACAGGATCAGAGTGGATTTAGAACAAGAAACTTCACACATGTTTTGAGGAGCTCTGAGACTTATTTAAACTGGTTGAAGAGGAGGAGAATATGTGACCTTTAAAACAATATATATCTGAACAAACCCTGTCTGCTTTGTATCATGTAATCACATTTCTTTATTGTATGAAATAAACTGACCGTATTTCTTACTTGTTCAGACTGCAGGCCTCCGTGTTTCCTCTTCATACGGTCTGCACTTTTATTTTCTAGAAGCAGAATCACAAGCTGATACAGTTTACTGCAATTAAATGTACCTAGGAATTTTTCAGTATTCACAAGCACCTTATGAACATTTAATTAATAGTATAAAGGAGAGCAGAGTGACAGATTAGCCGTCACTCTAATGGAGCTGTAAGCAGATATAAAGTCATTTTAATAATTATTTAATACATGTCACAGATTAATATACTGATACTACATACTTGGAGGATGGGGGATAAAATGTGCAAGAGTCTGATTGGCCTGAATTCACAGATGTAATCCTCATCTGGACACCCTGGATTTTATTCTTATACTTTAAGCAACTCATCTAGGCCAACCAAATCCCTTGTTTTTAATTTACCTTTCAGTCTGAGAACGAAGAGAGAATGAGGTATGAAGACGGGGGAAACAGATCAGGGTGAAAAGAAAAATCAAACCGTGTGAAACTTCCTGTCTCGTACCTTGAAGCTTGCGTGCAAATTCCGGTTGTAGCTTGTATGACATCACACAGGAGCCAGAGCAGAAGAGCTCCACCACGTTCTCAGCGACGTGATGAGTCACCATGTCCGACACCGGCCGGGAAATGTGGCACAAGTGCATGGATTGGGTGTCTGGTTACCCTGCAATAAAGTAGAAAAAGAAAGAAGTTGATTAAGGTAAGAGCAGTATATATAAAAAAAACATTTAGAGCACTTGTGTGTCTTGTTTTGAGCTCCTTCATTTCAAGTTTCAGAAAACGTTGCTGTAGCATCCACTCGAGTTTGGGCAACACAAGAATTAAGCTGTAGATGTTTCTGTTCACAAATGTTCATGTTTCAGTTAACAGCCTTAAAACAACTCGTCTGCTTTTGGGTTGAGACTCTTTAATAACCTCCTTCTTGTCTTTGACATATCTATATTTCACACACGTCTGCCCTCCTCCTGCTCCTGTCCTTCAGACACACACACCTCTCCTCTCTCCTGCTTGTAGTTTGATTTTTATCCCCTAATTACAGCCGCAACCTTCTCAGTGTTATGGTCTAAGTGAGTGACACAAAAAACATGAATTTTTCATTGATATTTATGGTCTTGGTCTTGTCTCGGTCTCGATCCCTAAATATCTTGGTATTGACTCTATCTCGTAGCACTCTGGTCTCGGGTATGTCTTGGGGTCAGTGTTGCCTGGACTACAACACTAGCTGGAAGATGTTTAAAGCAAACCGCTGGCTCACCGGAATAACTGAAGAAAAAAATGGCCTCACTTTCCCAGAGGCATATCCATATCATCTATCAGTCGATAGATTACTCCACCTTTTTGAAGTCTTCCAGACACTCCTGACTGCAGATGTCTTTAGTGTCCTCCTCCAGGTTCAGCCTGAGCGGTTTGTAGCAGACGGAGCTGCAGTTCTTACACGCAGCGCTGTTTTCTTTGCGGAAATCTTCGAGGCAGTTGTCGCTGCAGAACCTGTAGAGACGTTCTTAACCATTAACCCGCATTTGGTCTGGAAGAGACCAATAAAGAAGCACAGATTATGGCAAAGAGATCGCAGTGAAATAAACAGTTTTTCATGACAAGTATTTAAAGTAGAAATATGTTGCTTACAGAGCAGCCTTTTTTGCACATGCCGCAGACGCGCAGCAGTGTTTGGGGGATTTAATTGAGGACTTAAAAGAGCAGAGGCAGGTCGTACTGCAGAAGTCCTTCATAGTTCCCTTTAGGTCCACAGCCGCCATGATGAGGTCCAAAAGCCGAGTTATCGCACTGTTTAAATAAAGAGGGGATACGATGGACAGTTTGCATCAGCTTTTAATGTGGTTACATAAATAAACAAAATAACGACGTGAACACAGATCAAATGAGATCATCAGGGTCAAGACGATGCATAAAAGCCTTTATTTTAACGCTAGGTGAATCGCTTTATTCTTGTTTTACTGAATACTGAAGGGAATGATGCCGCCAAAATGTCTAATATAATTTATTCTGTGTCATTCCAAAGATACTTTCCTCTATTAGAGGGCTCTGTGATCACAGCTCAATGATCCTGTTTTTTAAGTAATAAAAAACAACAACAAACCAGCTGTTGTCTACATTAATTTCAAAAAGCAGTTTGAAAGTTAAACTACCATAAAGTCAACTCTGTTTTTAAAAGTCTCCCCAAGAAATAAAAAAAGTTAAACTGTCTTCCTGCTAGATGATTTCTATCAAGTTCAGCGAAGTATACAGTTTTCGGCTTCAAAAATTCATGAAAATTTTCATGACTTCTCGGCTCTGCTGGTCACTCTTTAACTTTAATATAGGACTCTTTCAATCAGAAGAGCACTCCACAAGGTTTATACAATATCCCACTGTTTTCTGTCTATGATTATGACCTCGTGAGGGTTTTATGGTGCTACAACCTGATTAAATATGTCCCAGGTTTCCACATTTAAGAGCAGCATGTCGTACTTGAAGATGACACAACGTTTGTCTCAAACTTACCTGGAACAGAAAAAGCAGGATTTGGTGACTGGCTTGTTTATGGGGAACTTTTCAAACAGGCAGTCTTTAGAGCAGAAGACGTCTGAGAAGCCTTTTTTCTGGTACGCTGTTTGACCCTTCGTCATGATCTTCTGACAGTGAGAGCAGATCATCTGAATCTCCTGTGAGCAAGAACGCAGGTGGAGAACATGAAAGACAAAATGTTTTCCAATTTCATCTGACAAAATAACTTAAACCTAACCTGTCATCCTTAATAATCAGTCTATTATTCACAGTCCTCTTACCTTTTCACTGCTCGGTGTGTTTTCTGTGTTTGTGGACGTCGACATTTCTGGAGATCGTTTACTGTCAGTGGGAATCGGCTGATCTTTTGCAGCTGGTTGACTCGCAGGTGACGACTGGGAGAGTCGAACTAAAGCCTTCAACTTCGTCTAGGACAAAAAATAGAAGAAGAATAAAACAGTCACAGATGTCTCACATGCTCGTCTTTAAGCATTCATAACAAAGAGACAGTTTAAAACCTAAAGACAAAAATTCCCCCTCCTCAAACTTCTTAATAATAATAATATGAGAAGAAAAGGCAATAAATTAGAAACTTACAAGGTCCAGTTTAGGGATCACTATCTTCACTTCTTTCATCCCGGCCACTGCAGCAGAAAGATCTTTCTTCTTATCTGTGATGAATAAAAACAAATACGGCTGGGTGACTTTTTTATCAGAAGAAAAGCTGCACAAAAAAAACCAATTATGTCACTGGGCATTTGCAAACACAGGTATTGTATAAAACATGAAAAACAGCAAATAATCTGGGACTTATAGTTAGAGCCACAGAGAGCTAACTCTTTAGTATTTGTTTTTTTATTGCACCTCATTATTAATCAATGTAATCACACGTTGAATATTTTTCTCCTATTGTGCAGATTTAATGTAAAAGCAGATCAGGAGTACATTATGTTATATTTTACAAATATTCATCATATCCAGAAGATGAAGCCAGCAGCCATAATGTTCCCCTGACCTTTCCTCTAGTGCTGCCATGAGGGTTTGCATTTTGCATTTGATGAAATAACATTTACTTAAATTACTCACTAAATACTGGAATGACGGCCGAAGAGTTTCTCTGGAGGATGAATTCTCAAGACTTAGTTTTTAAAACGACATTTCCTCTCATGTAACTAAGAGTTTATAGTTATTTACTGGCGATATCGCAACATAAACGAGAGGGGTTTGTTTGTGTTTCATACAAACATTCATGGTCACAGATTATGTTTAAGGATTTTAGTGATCGCTTGACTTTCATTCATCAGATTTAATTCACCTTTATTGATGATGGGAGAGGAACTTCTGCTGTCCACATCCATCAAGCCACTTGGTTCCTCGTCATCGTCTGGACCACCCGCCTCCATGCGCTCCTCTGAATCAGTGTCCATGTTCTTTCCAGCGTCGAGCTCGTGTTCTGCTCTGTCGTTCTTCTCAGCATCAGAGCCGGCCTCGTCTTGTTTTTCATCATCGTTTAAACCCGGTAACCACGACTTTGTTGCTGAGCCGCGTGTGTCTTCATCACCATCGTTCTTCTCATTTCTGGGAATATCTTCGTCGGTGTCCATGTCAAAGTCATCGTTCATATCACCGCGTCGTCGTCGTCACTGGAGAACATGTTGGACGTGTTGTCATTGCTATGTGACGATGTTCTCTGAGGTGTGTTGGCAGCTGAAGTTCTCTTCTCAGATCTGTCATCTGGCTCTGAGTTCACTTCTTCATCTTTCTCATCACTCAGCTCAGATTCATCTTCACTCTCCAGCCTCCTCCCCTGCCCCCTTCCTCTCCCCCTCCCACTACCTCTCCCCCTGCCCCTCCCTCTGCCTCGACCAGATCTGGATAAACTGCTGGGTGATTCCAATCTTGAAGAGGATCCTTCTAAAGACAAGTGACCTAGATGTGATAGAGGAAAAGCGATGAGAGAACACTAATGACATTCTTTTGTCCAATATTCAGAGAAAAGTCAGCCCTTGGTTTGTGTGAATCCCGATGCAGCGAATAAGATGGACCGCAATTTTTTGAGTGATCAAAAATGTATGAGACAAAAGTCCTTCAGCTCTCGATTAGATGGAGCTCCCCCAACCTTCAGTGAGGTGATCGGGCGCTACTACCATCCGACATCCCTGACGCCCAGCCTCAACCATCGGACTGTGTGGGTACAATCACTTCTATCTGAACCACTTCTCTTGCCCGCTTCCATCACTGCAACACCTGTTGACCTGATAACTGCTCTCATATCTGGCAAACCGAGGGGCGTCCAAAACAGCCGTGTGGGGGTCGCCTTAAAACCGCCTACCTTCTCTGGTCCAAACAAATCCAGAGCATTCAGGACCAGAATCTAAAGTTAGAAGGAGGACATACTGGCTGCTGCATTGTTGTCAGAGAAGCCAGCACTTCAACATAGGCATGTTTCCTTAATGTCTGATCATATAGTAAGATCACTTTATCATTTCAGTCAGGAGATATCTTCCAGATTGGACCCTTAAAGTAAATATGCACAAAAATTAAACTATCTCCAAACCTATCACACTAACAAATGAATTCTCATCTCTCTCTTTTTGTGTTCATGTGTTGGAGCGTGTTTCATAACAGATCCATGTTGACCAATATTCTATAAAGTGGTGCTCCTCGATTAATTACCTTTTGGTTTGGGGGTTCTGATCTGAGAAATGTCGGTCCCATTTTCTGAATCTGAAAGGAGAAAAATATTCATGTAGAAAGGATACTAGGATAGGATACTTCTGATGATGCCAGTAAGAGTAGTGTGCAGGATTTTTTCTTTTCAATGAGATGAAAAAGCATTCAATGGTACTCAAAATGCCTGGATGGGAAACGACTTGGCATTTTACCGACAACTGAGAGTTGATATCCATCACATACCGTTCATCTGAAAGGACATTTCTGATTCTTCTTTGTCTTCGTCTCTTTTTCTGGGGTTGACCGGCTCAATATGTGGCTCCAACTCATCTTCAAAAAACAAACAAGACACATAAACCTTTAGTGCATCAATGCAACTGGCTGAAATGGTTTTCAATCATAGTCCAATGAACACAATCTTCCAGAATCGAACAAATAAAAATAAAAAAAACATAAAAATTAATATTTTATGATCAAAATGTGGCCTCCTGCAGCGATCTGCGTGCAGGAGCCACAGAAGAAAAAGAAGACTGTTTGCACGTTGATGGGAAAACTAAAGCTGAACACATACCTGCTATTTCGATTTCCTGGAAAGATTTTCCCTGGTATTTTTCCAGGGTTCCCTTCTCCACCGCTGAGAGGAGCTCAAAGATTTTTGCGAGGTCCTCAGCTGCGTCTGGCGTCTGATAATACTCTCTGTCGGTCTGAATGTCGCGGCCCAGAAGTTTGGCTAGCTGATCGAGCTGACCATTTGAGAGGCCGAGGATCTGGAAGACTCTTGCAAGGTGCTTACGAAAACACACAGACTTGAGGATCGGTTCATTCTTTGCGCCGCACCGTGCCACAGTGGTCGTGAAGGTGACGCCTCCTCTGAGGTAGCTCGCACATTTTGCATCAGGTAGCGCAAACAGGAAGGGGTTATCTGTATGAACGCCACACGCTTCTCTCTTGTTCACAAGCTGTTCTAATGCGGCAATCAGTGTAGGGGTCAACGTCATGACAACTGTTCTGCCCATGTGGTCACACATCACATTGATCTTCACCGACGTCTCGGAGAGGATCTGGTCGACCTGCGACTGGCCGACAGCAGGGTCCTCACAACGCTCAGTCTCCTCCCTCTCCTGGAAAGACTTGAGTGTCACACGAGCCAGATCCACATTTCGGTTAAGCACTGACAGCTGAGCGACTGTCAATCTGAGAAGCGAAGTGTAGACCGGAGCGCATTCGTACTTAGTCAGACTTTCAAAGGCAGAAGCCGCCGTCTTCTCCAAGTACTGGTAGAAGAGCTGCACGTCCTGCATGAAGGGTATGATTGCCGTCGTCGAGGTGTTCAATTTGTAGGCACCGCACCATTCTTTCTTACACAAACTCAAAAATGTCGCTGCTTCACCAATCTTCTGTTTATCATTACCCTCCTTCAGCGCCCTTGCGTAGTTGATGTCAGCAATCAACTTGAGAGAATATCTTACTGTGACTATCACAGTCGGTCGGTTCCAAGTCTTGTTCTCTTCATTGAAACCGCAGAGCTCTCGGACAGCTTCGACGACTTTGCTGAAGTTTTCCGGACTCAGTACGTCTTTGAAGCTTGATATGGACGTTTT